AGGAGGGACAAAGAGTGACAAAGAGGGACAAAGAGGGACAAAGAGGGACAAAGAGGGACAAAGAGGGACAAAAGAGGGACAAGAAGACACACAGAGGAACAAAGAAGAACAAGAAGACACACAGAGGGACAAGAAGACACACAGAGGAACAAAGAGGGACAAGAAGACACACAAAGGAACAACGAAGAACAAGAAGACACACAGAGGGACAAGAAGACACACAAAGGGACAAGGCCAGCGGGCGCGCAGACGTGCGGTCAGTAGGCGGCCTCGGGCGAGCGGCGAGCAGGCCCGGCGGCCTTGTGGCGCGGGCGCGGGGAACAAGCGCAAGACACACCTTCCCCTCGTTCGGGGACAGAAGGCTGATGCTCCGGCCGTTGGACAGCACCGGCACCGAGACGCCGGTCTGCCGGGGCCCGGTGCCGGTGCTGACCAGCCCGGCGGCGATGAGGGCACGCGGGGTGTGGAGGGCCGGCAGGCCGCGCGGGGGGGGCTCCTCGGCCGAGTGCAGCACCGAGGCCGATCGGCTCCGGGGCCCGGGGCCGTGGGGAGCCGCCGGCGGGGACGACCGGAACATCAGCCCGCTGAGGGCGGCCCCGGCGGCCGGGTCGGCCGGACGCCCGGCCGACGTGTCCGAGTGCTTCCAGACGATCTGCACGCGGCGGCGCTTGAGCTGGCGCTCGACGCGCAATGGCAGCAGGCCGTCCGCCGGCGGGGGCCCGTCGCCGGGGGGCCGGCCCGGGCCCGGGGCCGGCGTGGCCGGGGGCGGCGTGGCCGGGCGGAACCCCTGGGCCAGGGAGGCCCCGAGCCCGGCCATGTCGTACCCGAGCCCGAGCCCGGCCCCGAGCCCGGCGGTCAGCTCGCTGAGCGACCGCAGGAGGGTGGGGCTGCCGCCGGGGGCCGGGCCGGGGCGACCGGCCGCCGGGGCCCCGGGCGCCGACCCGGCGGCCAGAACCGGCGACGGGGTCTCGGACACCGGCTCGCTGCCAGGCCGGGCCGGGAGCCCGCGCCCGGCGAAGGGCGGCGAGGCGCCGGCCATGCCGGGCCCCGGGTCCGGCCCGGCCCCCATGCCGGCCGCGGCCAGCGTGTCGACCGAGGCGAAGCGCGGCCGGCCCGGGCCCGGCGCATCGGCCGCCGGCAACCCCGGCCCCGGCCCCGGCCCCGGCCCGGGGGGGCCCTCGCGCAGGAGACTCTCGATGCGCTGCTGGTAGGGGGCCCAATCTTCGGGGGCCTCGTCCAGCCACTTGATGCTGGACATCTCCACCACCAGGAGCGTCCCCTCGGGCCAGAGGGTGCGCGCCTTGCCGGGGCCGGCGTTGTCCAGCGACAGGGCCGGGCCGCCGGGCGGGACCGGACCCGATGGGGCCGGCAGTCCGGGCCCGGCCACCAGGCCCGGGGCCTTCGCCTGGCTGCCGGGCCCCCCCGGGGCCCACACCGCCGGCAGCACCGGGACCAGGAGCTTGCGCAGGCGCCCGCTTCGGAAGAGCAGCACCAGCACCAGCATCACGGTCCCCTCCGGCGGGAGCATGCCGGCCAGCACGCGATCGCGCAGCCCCGGCGGCGGGCAGCCGGCCGAGCCGTCGAGCCGGTCGGCCAGCACCTCGCACAGGAGCCCGGCCTGGGGCAGGGGCATGGCCGGGTCGCGCTGCGGCCGGAAGAACCAGCCGCCCTGGAACCAGCGGACATCCACCACGGGGTCCGTGTCGTCGGGGGCCGGGGCCGGGGCCGGCTGCTCGCCCGGCGGGGGGGTGGCCGGGCTTCGCAGGACCGAGGGCGAGGCCGGGGCGTCGGGGCTGGGGCTGGCCGCCGGCCCCGGGGCGTCGGGCTTGCGTCCGGCCGCGGCCCCGGGCAGGGCGCTGGGGCTGGCGGCGGAGGCGGCCGTGGGCGCCGTGGTGGATGGGACGGTGGCGGCGGCGGCGGCGGCGGCCGGAGGGACAGGGCTGCCGCCACTGGCGCCGGGGCTGTCGGCCCTGCTGGTGGCAGGCCCGCCGGCGGGCGGACTCGCTTCGGGAGCCAGGCCGCCATGGGGCACGGCAGTCACCAGCGCCGAGGACGCGGAGGTCGACGGGGGTCCGGTGCCGAAGTCGGCCACACTGGCTGAGCTGGTGTTCCCGGCGAGCCGGGCCACCCGGGGGATGG